CCGTGGCAGGGGCTGGAGCTGGGTGATCTTAAGGTGCTTTCCAACCCAAACCATTCTATGATTCTATGGAAGATCTCACCCAGTGCTAACTCTGAAGCTCACCATGACCAGTGGAGTGCACGTGAGGTGCAGGACTCTGGAATGAGCAGAGTTTGTAATGCCAAAGCCCCCGTACCCTGCTTAGCCTTTTGGGGTTGGTGGGATCCTCCAGGTGGGCAGGATGCTGCCTCTTCTGCAGCAACGGGACATCATCTCACTGTGTGTCTTATCTAAGGGGGATCTCAGCTGGGTCTGGGCAGCTGGTTAGCTCCCATGGACCTGTCTCTCTGCTCAGAGGCAAGCAGAAAATGAAACCAAAGCATCTAATTAGTTTCTGCGTGCGGATGTTCATCCAGCACAACTTGGCCGAAGATCAACTTATTTTACAGAGAGCCAAAACGTCTTCAGATGGGAACTTCAGCGTTTGAATTCAGGGCTTTGTTTCAAGGCAGAATGCTTTATTCCCGATCCCTGGAGCCCGGAGCCATGTATTCCTCTGTGGAGCTTCAAACCAGTTCGCCGCGCTCTGGCGTGTAACGAAAGCCAGGTGCCCGCCGAGCCGGCGTTACGGCGCGGTACCAGCCCGGCCCGTGCATAAAGAACCAGTTGTGTTTGGAACAGGCCCGGAGACTGTTCTCCCCTTGTGAAAAGTCACAGGGAAACTGAATGTTGGGCTCATTCATGTGGCTTTTCCACGTTTTCGGTCGGGATTGGAGCACGCAGATTTGCTTCTTTAGCAAAACCATCTGTTGTTTGGATGTGCGTGTGAACAGTTTGGGTTTCCCGGCTTCCCCCCGTGCTCCTGGCACGCCGCAGAGCCGGTTAAAGCAAGCAAAGCACCCAAAGGCACTTTTAATCCTTTTTTTTTTCCTTCTCTTTTAATGTATAACAGTTATGCCTGAGTTACAGAGAGACACCTACAGGCAGCAGGTAGTTAAAGCAAAACCAGTTTCTCTTCCTACTAAGACTACTCCATATAGCTGAATAAATTATGGTGCGATTATATATATACACACGCACGCACGCAGGCACACACGCACAGGCTCACGCACAGGCATACACATGGAGCAAAATGGCTATGAGTCAAACACAGAAGCAACATATCCGCAGTTACTAGAATAAGGAATGTCCTATAGTGCTATGTAGATACTCCCCAGGTGGGTATATGGAGGTGTTAGGGATGACGAGTTAGAAGCATTAAATACACAAAGTCTCTGAGCGACAGGAGCCAATCTGCTGAGTTACTGGACACAGTGAGGAGATGTCCGTTGGGTGGCCTCAGGATGGTGTTGAGAGGTGAGGGCAGGGGCACGGGGAGGTAAAAGGAACTCACTTGGAGCTTCTCCTGTCCCCCCAAGGATGTCAGTTCTCATCTGCAGGCATGGAAGAAATGCCAACCTGAGAGAAGGTCTCTGGAGCACATCCCTTCCCTTGGTGGTTCTTTTGGATGAGGTGCAGAAGGATTGTGGGGTTGCCAGGCACCCTCAGAGTCACCAGTAGTTGAGTATCTGCTCAGTCCCCATTTGGTCTGCTTTGCACCCACATGTTCTTCCGGGTCCTGCTGTCCAACACTTGTCCGCTGCTGACTGCTACTCTTCCATGCACGGTTTTGTTTCGCCTCCAAGGCACCTCCCTCTGTTTTGTCCCCCCTCTCCCCATCCCACCCTACCCGCTGAGTTTGTCTCTTGTCAGCAGAGCCGAGGCTGGCAATCCAAAAACCAAACCAAACCCAATCGAAAAATACTTTGACTTTCATACATGAACATACCTTAAAACAAAACAAAGAAACAACCAAAGCCAAAGAATCCCCAAATCAAACCCATCCCACCCCAAAGACTCTGGAATGTATTTTGAAAACACACGATAGGCAAATTTCTACAGTTCCTCCCCTCCCTCCCCCTTATTTTTGTATCTTTTTTTATAACTAGCACGGCACTCACTGTGGGGTTTAGTATAAAAAATGTCAACTTCCTATAAACATACAGCACATGACCAAAGTTCCAACTAATGTACAAAGTGCGACCACGAGGGAAAGGTCAGAGAACAGCTATTTGCGCTAGCACGGGGCCGTTTCCATACTCCTCTAAGAACTCTATTTACAGCAGTGCCCAGGTGGTCATGGACTTCCTAGTGAAGGTAACTGGCAAATAGTTTCTAGAGAGCTCCCTCTTTTTAATGTTTTTTCACTCCTGGGGTCCTGCACGCAGGGCCGAGCTCAGCTCAAGCTCTCCTCAACAACGTGCTCACGGTGCGGACCAGGTATCCGCTGTTGAGGGATGCTTGGGAGATGTGTGTGCACACAGAGGAGGATGGATGAGATACCAGCAGGGAGAAGAGAGCAGGAGTAGCAGACAAGCAGTTCTCATGACAAACTGAGCTTTCCTTCCAGTTTAGCAGGCAGCTAGGAATGCATTTGGTCAGAAGTTTCACTATGAAGAAGAGATTGCAACTGTCTGGGGTAGATACGGGGTCAGCACTCACCATCCACAACCTCCATCTTCCAGTAGTAAGGGGAATGTAGATCTGAAGGTGCTCCCAGACAGGGTGATTATGGCCATTTGGCCTCTTAAAGACGATTAAAAGTGGCAAACAAGAAAATCGTGCGCTGCAGAATGAGACTGAGAGACAGGAGCAAATTCAAACAGGTACTTCAGTCATTAATCCTTCATCTCACCCTCGATCCCCCAGTGCAGGTGTGGCTGAGGGTTACTGGTATTGGGAATGACATTTAAGTTAGTACTGGAATTCAACAGGGATTTCTTCCTTAGATCAGCTCTTGCTTGCTGAGATCTCAAAGTGGCACAAAGCAGGGAGAGCGCTCCAGGGAATGGGACCGGTCTCAGCCACCTCAAGGAATCAATACCTTCAGCCTCACCCAGCTGTAGGTGCTACATACTGCCCTGAGAAAGGATGAGAAGAATCCAAGCTTCAAGTGCTCCAAAAGCTTCATGATCCAAGAAAAGTCTTTTACAACTAAGAAGGGAAGCTGTACGTGTCATAGAGCTGGGCAAGCAGAGGCTGAATTGGGATCTCTGGAGAATAAAGGATGGCAACATGGCCTCTAGATGCCCACGTTGCCCTGCACAGAAACATGTGAGAGGCCAAGCTGGTGTATTAATACGCTTTAGGAATGTCGAGCAGGCTCTGTCACAGCCATAAAGCACAGCTGATGGAAGCCAGATGTGACTCTGATAGGATGCTGAGCTACGTAAGCAGCAAACCTCTGCTTTGGTCAGAACAGGTACTTGCCCGTGCGGCTCAAGGGAAAGTGGCTTGGCGGCTCATGATAAATGGTGTTGGGGAAAGGCAGGGGAGAGTTCCCCAGAAAAATGTTGTTGCAGCTGCAAAACCAAGGGGAGATTATATGAAAAGAACAGAAGCAGCAGCAGCAACAGAAGAGAGCACAAGGGAAGCATCTCCTTTAAGAACTCAGGAGCATATGCTAGACCATAACACGTGGTCCCCCATTATCACCAGTGGACAAAAGCAGACATTCATTAACCTAAAGCAGACATATAAAATAAGTGTACTATAAACCCTTACAGTCTGTAGATGACTTTAAGTCCTGCCTGTTGCCATTGGACTTCACACATCAGCTCCTGGCTCGCACAGATTCTCTGCATCAGGCTGTTACATCAGGGGCAGCTTTCTTTGCCTTCTCCAGGTCACATTTTAGCATGTTCTTGAAGCCTCTCAACACAGGAAGGTGAGGAGGGAGAAGTCTGTATTAAACATCATCTGCTCAAGAATCATCAAGGATCATCACCACATGCAAAAGGGAATCTATTTCAAAACTCATGTGGGTCAGGCCTTAGCAATAACCTCTTATTGTTGGCTGCTTTTATCTGCGCACTGCGCTGAGCAGACTTGTGAGGCGATACAAAAGCGAGAGCACCGGCTGCTACAGCAAATTGGGGTGATAAATCCAGAGAACAAGATCTGGCTTAGAGAGAGAGAAATGCTCCACCACCAAAGTGAAAAGCAGAAGGAAGGGAGAGACTGAGTTGTATGGAACAGTACGCGGAATGATAGGGAAGAGCTGGGAGGATGGACAGAGGCACACATTTCTCCTGCTGTTGGTACAGTAAATCCTTCCCTGCAGTACAGATAGGGGCAACGCTGCAGCTGAGAGCACCTTTCCCTCCTACCTTGTGTTAGAAAGACTTGTCAGACATCTCCCCTCTAACTCCACAGCCACATCCATCCCTCAGTGAGAGGCAGCTGTGGAAAAGTACCTCGAGAACAAGCCCCATTTTCTCTCAGGTAGCCCTTTACTTGTAGAAGAACCTGGCCCTGTGCACTGACCCTCTCCAAGCAGGCAGCTAACAAACACCTCTGACTCTTCCCTCTCTTGTCTTTGTTCTCATGGCCAGCTTCTCTCCTGCTGAGTGAAGGAAGGGCCACTGACAGTCCTTGCCCTTCCCAACTGCATGGGCAGAAGCTCCAACGTGATCGGGTGTATCTGATGTCCTTCCTCTGTGTGTGCAAGGCCAGTGTCCGCTATCGCATCCCCTGCTGCTATCTGATGCCCGTGTCTCTTCAGTGATAGTCATAAATTGGTCCCTAAGAGGAAATGTAAATGTTGTCTCGTGCCTGTGCCCATAATTTCTAGTCCTCATGCAGCAATTTACATTTACACTTTCCAAAGGTCCCAGGCTGGACAGACTTACACCCTGCCCCTGCGTAGCAGCAATCTGGCCTTCTTTAGCCCTGCTTTAGGAAGCCATCAGTGAGAACAGAAGAGTTGGGGGGGGGGGGGGGGGGGGGTGGAATTTGCTGTCACTTTAACATATGTTTTATGGGTTTCATTTGTCTTTGTGGTGTTTTGTTTTGTTTTTAAACAAGTTCTTATGTTTGGTCCATAGGTCTTCTGTGGTCCCGAACTACATCACCCTTAATGATCAGCTTGGTTATTCTTTCCTATACAACATTCACCAAATTTACAGCAATGGAAAGAAAAGGAAACAAAAGAAAACATTTCATTTTTACAAAGAAAAAAAGATCATTTTGGCTTTGACTATGCCAACTACCTAGATCAATGGATAGTCCTTAAGCATGGGCAAAATGCCATGGCCAGGTAGGTTAGAGGGAGCGTATGAACTTGGGATTAATAAATGTACCCAACCCATTGTCTCTGGCCACAGGAGGAGTCAGGTCACAGAGGCCAGGCTTGCCTCTGGAATGAGGAGGAGCTGGAGACTTGGAGAGCCTTTCCCCTCTTTCCCGTCTCCTTCACAGCTGAAGTTGGTGCAAGGTGAAAGGGAATTGGGAAGGAGCAGGGTCTGGGTACAGGTAGATCCCTGGAAGGCTGGTGGTGTTTCTCCAGTGCTACCAAGTTGCTGGAGTGGGTTGTTGGCACAGTCGGACTCTTCAGTAAGCTTGGCCTGTCTCTACTGGTAGGAGGCCCAGAACAGCTGAATGTTCTCCCAGCTTCATCCTGCGCTGTGTGGACAGGCTCACGTTCTTGGCCAAATAATCAACAGCAGCTGAAGAGGGGAAAAAAGAGGAGGGGGAGAAAACAGCACAACGTTAGCATGCAGTGGACGGAGGCTTTCAGCATCAAAGGGTGTGTAACCAACAGAGCTTGCAAACAGACTCAGTGCAGTGGTTGTCACAGACATGAGGGTCCTGCAAATGAGTGATGGTCCTGCCAGAAATACCTGATGGCACAGATGCTGCTGGGGTTAAGCTGATGTGCAGTGCTCTCTGTGTGTGCTACTGCAGGCCCTCGAGCTAAAACTCTACTTCTGCCATTGAAAATGGTGTTTCCAAGGCAGTTGCCTGAAGATGAGCCTGAGCAGAAAGCCAGTGGGATAAGCCTTCCAGCCTCACCTCCCTGTATCATCTCACAGTGGCAAAGCCAACTCCTGCACTCGGTGTAAATGACTCCAGAGATTCCAATGGAAGCTCAGCAAGGCTGGTCAAGGCTTGAATCTGACTCACTGCTGTGTGCTGACTCATCTCTGCAAGCTCTGCTGCCTGCCTCCATCCACCCTTCCTAAGGGAAAGCGCTTTGCTTATCTCCATCGGGGTGAGAAACAGCAGCCATAACTCCTGAGGTGATGCTTAACCTGTATCCCAGCTCGCCTGACTGCCCCATGGTCTGAGGGGGAAGAGGACCAGGGGCAGGATGGTGACATTGCTCATTAGCTGAGCTTCAGTCAAAGTCTTTCCCTTTCACTAGCTTTAATGTCTCAAATTAGATTAATAAGGAGCTGGCAGGAGATGTACAATCGGTGCCAATGAGTAAACAAATTTCAGCCATCAACGTCTTGTCAGGCGCCTGCCCCAGAGGAGGTCCCTTCCAGACACAAATTCTTATTAGACTTGTCATATCTATTAGAATTCCTTTCACGCTTCTGCGTTCCATCACCGGCATCATTAACACAGCTCCGGCCTTTGGGAACTGAGAGGACCACATTAATCTGGCATCCCTGCTCCTCACCGGCTGGGACAGCGCAGGCTCGGCTCAGGATGAGTTCTGTGGGGCTGAAGGGAGGTGGGCTGGGGAGCTTCTGCAGGCTGCAGGGTCTGGAAAGAGCTCAGTGAGGCAAGTGGAGCTGGTTGTAGCTGGGATAGCTCAGCTTGGGTGCTGGGCTCTGTAATGTTGTGTTATGGTGCTTCCAGCTTCAAGGGTGGGGTGTACACAGGATTAGACCCCCAAGCTATGGCTCTCATCCAGACCTTGGTCCCCTGATATGTCAGTAACCACATTAAGTATGTCTTCGAGAGGATGCAGGTAAAGAGGAAATTCACTCCTCAGCCACACTGTGGGTGGGGGTGGGCCTCTGTTCCTGTTGCTCTGGCTGAATTCAGATGGGTGCTTGGGAAGGGAAGGAAGTAAAAGCCAGAGCTCTGGGAAAATGGGAATTTGATGGCAATCCCACCCTTCTATAACAAACCTGCTAACCTCCCAGTAATTGCTTTTTGTGGGAAGAGCTCCAAGGCACCAGGGTATCCCCTGCCAGAAGTCAAAATACAGTTTGTTGGTTTAATACAGTGGAAGCCAAAATAAAACCAGAAACCCACCAGAAGTACTCTGGGTGTTTATTTGCTTATGTGAGAGAGAAAGTGTGCCTGGGTTCGGGTTTCTAAAGCAGAGAATGAGGTGAGAAGTGGGGGGAGAGACTCCCTGCAGGTCCATTCCAAAGCCTATCAAACCTACAGAGCTCTTATTTACCAGCCCTGGTTACATCCCCTGTCATACAGAGCCTACCCCAAATTATAGTAACCCCCCATTTTTATTGTAGCAGCGTTCATTAAAAAGAGTTTTGATACTTCTTTGCTGCATCATAAAACAAGAAATATATGATTTGAACTGAACATCAATAAATGGTTTTGTGGAGGTCAGCATTTTAAAAGAAGCAGAGAAGAATTAAAAAGCAGGAAGAATTGAAGTATCTGCTGAACACAACACGCACCAAACAAGGAAAAGTCTTGCTATACAAGGGCATCTTCATGTATGTGACTGCTCTGACAGGACTCATTACCAATGAAAACTGTTTCCACACGCAGAGGTTATTGTAAATGGGGCTCATTATCTGAAAGTTTATAGTGGAGCAGACTTACATACTGCCCCTGCAGAGCTGTAAATGCAAGTATCTATAGGCAGATGTGTTCACATGTGGGATTTCACAATAATCTAGTTCCCACCTTAGAACAGCCACTGATGGTTTGTGCTGCACCTGCAGGGCAGCGTGGCTCTGGCTTTGGCCACTGTGCGGGGGGGGACCTCAGCTCCTGGCACTGGGAAGCAGTGGCACCATGGATGGTGTGTGATGGTTTCTCACCTACCTTCCTTGCCCCAGCAGGAAGAACTCCTTCGTCACTAGTGACCTGCACGTCTCTAAGCACAGGACATGGCAGGACTAATACTGTCAACCACACAAGGCTTGCTGCTGGGCTCTCCTGACTATTAATAGGAAAACATTCCTGTTCCAAACTGAGCCCAGTGGGTTCTGAACTGGACTGGCAAATAGAATGGTGTCCAGCAGAAAAAAGGGAGCGCTGTGACAGCAATCAGGAAAGCAGGGCAAATAACACCGTAAATAGGGCTGCTGAGCAGTTGTTCATCAGCACGAGGAGAGGCCCAAGTGAAAATTCCTGCAGCAAAGCAAGACAAACCCTTCTTTCTCTTTCCTCCTCCTTTGCTGGAGAAGGAAAACGTCGCTCGTCCTCCTTACTTTATTTTTTACACACATGGGTGTGACTAACGTCTTGCCCAGGGGAATCTTTATTGGAAATCCATGGTATTGGAATTTGTTTAAGATTTTTATCAATAGCACGTGTGTCCAGCCTCACATCCAGAAGCGAGGGGAAGGTCAAGGGGTCACAGATCAAACTCCCGAAAACCAAAAAGAGGGGGGCTGTGGGGAAGCAGCTATTGATCCCGTCTGCCGCCACAGCCGGTTCTCATTTAGCTGGAGAAGTTAAAGACATTAAAGGGCTGTGACGGAGAGGGGAATAAAAAGCCACAGCCAAATGGAAGGAAAGGTCACTGAGGACAAGCTATGGGCAAAGCAGGAGTGCTCCCGGAGGAAGAGGATGCACCTTTAACCCTCCGCGGATCACTCTCTCACACCACCACACTTATTATTAGTTTAACACCAGCAGGTGAGCCCTTTGCCAGGCTCGCTGGTGTTTGTGTGACCCAAGCATTCAGGAGCAGAAACAGACCCTCCCCGGGTCCCTCTGCCTTTCAGGGCTGAGGTTTAGCTTCAGGATTACAATTCCAGGCTCACTTCAGCTTTTGCAGAAGCACAGCCCAGTTGACAGGCATTGCCTTGATGTGCTTTGGAGCAAAAACCTTGGGGTACGGGCCCAGCCCTTGCCTGGTGGAGGGCAGGGAGGGAAGAGACACATACATGAAGGAATGGCATTAAAATCCCAGCTTTCATTTGGCTGAGCAGGGTGAACATGCTGTAGGGCTTTTGGAGAAGCAAGAATTGGGAGATGGAAGGAGACAGGTCTGGAAGCTGTCTTTATTTTTAATAGAAATGTTGTACCTAAAATATTTCAGTGGGGAGTTTTGAACTGGACTGTGAGGGTGCTGGGGAGGCTCTGTGGAGCAATCTCTGTGTCTGATGAGCACATGCCCTTTTATTCTCTAGATGGACAGATTTCTTTATTGGTCTTTTCTGTGAGGGTGGAGAGGCACTGGAACAGGCTGCCCAAAGAAGTGGTAAATGCTCCATCCCTGGCAGTGGTCAAGGCCAGGTTGGACAGGTCTAGTCTGTCCACGGCAGGGGGTTGAAACTAGATGATCTTAAGGTCCTTTCCAAACCAAACCATTTTATGACTCTATGATTGTATAATTTCTATAGAAATCCCTTCCAATACAATATCTATAACTTTTTACATTCCCCTCCTCTCTTCTCCTGCTCCCTGTACAGGGGGAATGAAATCAGAGCACTTACTTTGTCCATACTGTCCATACTGGTAGCCAGCCACTGGATCCACGCTGTAACTGGTGGTGCTGTAGGTGGGAGGACAGTAGGACTGGGAAGTCGGGAGGCTGTCCACGGACTTGATGGAGTCGCTCCGCTGGCTGCAGCTGGCAGAGATGGAGTTGGTGGTGTCCAAGCCACCGTGAAGGGGAGAGATGGAGAAGTCAGCCTGGGGTTGTGGAGGAACCCCGCTGGGGTTGCTCAGGATACTCATCACCTGCGGAAACACATGAGACAACATGTCAGTGGCTGGAGGAGAAAGGGGGGTCTGCAGCTGCCTTCATGCATACTAGGGAGCAACAGTGCACATACAATGGTGCTCTATCATTGTAAGAGACAATCCCAAAATAGGTTTGGCCAGGCTGAAGAATGAAGGTCTGCTTCCACCAGAAACAACACACAGACCCCAGAGGTGGCTCTAACGCTTAGTCCTTAGGATTAATGAGAGTCCTTAAAAGGGATAACTGAGAAGCTCCTTCAAGGTACGCTCAATCTTTGGTCTTTCTTTGCTGACCTGCCAACGTTAGCTGTTGTGTTAGTCCTGTTACAGTGTTAGTGCTGTCCAGAATGAAGACTGGAGAAAGGAAGAAACTTGGGATAAACCTGTTTAGCACATACTGCCATGAACTGAGGACAAGCATCCCTCCCAGAGACACAGAAGACAGGGAGCAAAAAATCCCTATTTTCCAAAAGGGACACTGAAAACAGCTCCTTTCTTTGGAGGTCTTTGGGGCTTGGTTTGCAAAGGTCCCCAGCCAAACCAGATGCAACCCCTTTCTGGCCTTGATGCGGATTCAGCTTTAGGAACTAAAAAGTCAAAGTTCTCTTTCCCCTCCAATGTTAAAGGAGAACAGGTCCTGGTTCGGCTCATTTCAGTGGAGTGCTTGCTTGGAAAATGTAATTAAATTTGCACACAAACGCTCTTCCTGCTTTGAGACCTGAAAACAGATGAACTTTTTTCCTCTTTTGCAACAAAAAATGCCAGATTTGTTCCTGCGGGTGACTTTGGGGTAAGCTGCTGCCCACTGGCCTTCACACAAGGACCCTGATCCGCCAGCGCTCTAATGCAATTGCCTTCTGCAATCAGCCAAATTACCCCCGGGCTGCCAAGTTAAAAGTGGAAAGAGTTTGCAGGAGCGGGGCCGTGGCGAGGGAAGGAAGGGAATTCCTGGTGCCTCTTGGTTGATCTTGCTGGAGTTGGGCTGGGGAAGGAGGGGGGAGCGGGGACAGGCTCTCACCTCAGGGGGCCAGGCCCGCGCTCAGATGCCGAGCGGCTGAACCCCTCCGAATTGAGCATAACCTTATTGACATCAATTAAAGTGGCAAATTGGAAATATTTGGAGCCTGGCAAGTGGTAAAATGAGCCCTTTATCCCCCACCAGAGGCCTGGTGAGCTATTGTGCAGAGGATACATTCTCTGGAAGGACACAAGCGGGGTTGTATAGAGCCGCGTCTCCCCTTCCTGCTCACCCCGACACCTTCCCCATTCCCTCCTCCCTCACCTTCCTGCCGGAGCTGGAGCTTAGCCTGAATAACCAGCTACGTGCTGGTCTTTGCTTTCTAAAGCTTCTCCTCCCCCCGGAAGGACTCAGGAGCCCTGCAAAGATGCTTTCCCTTGATGTGATGCCACCTCCCGACTTGGCCGGCCTGAGATCCTTCCCAGGCATTTGTCTGGGAGGGGAATTTGGGAGCAGGGGTGGCTGGACCCCCGTGGAGGGGGAGGCAGTGGGGAGGTTCTGGGGAGGGCGTTAGTTGAAAAGCCTGGAAAATCAATCTAACGCTGACCACTGTGGTTGTCTGCAACGTGGTACAGACAAGGGAACAAGCTTTGCCCCAGCAGCGCAGTGCCAGCAGCAGAGAGCTCAGAGGGCTCATTTCACCTCTCCTCCTTCAGGGTTTTCAGCCTGCACTGAGCTCAGAGTTTGCTGCTGGTCCCCAGAAGTTAAAACTGGCTGAGCTGCCTCTACCCTGCAGGGCAGATAAGTTCCAGATAGAGTCTAAGCTACCTCCAGCGCTCCAGACCCTCTGGCACAGCTTCTTAATCACAGTGATTAAGCCTGGAGGCATCTAATGAAGCTGTTTAGCTGTAACACAGTGCAGTAAGTGCCCATGGAACTCCCTGCCCCATGACAGCCCAAAGACTGGAAGGGGTGAAGAAAGGACACTGCATTTAAATATGCAAGACAGAGTGGATTAATACGAGAATAGGGCTGTCCTGCTTTTCTGTGGGGATGTAACGCAAACCTCCCTGCCCCAAGGCTTATGCAAGCAGGGCAATTATGGGAGTGCAGCCTGAAGGGGGGGTTTCCAGCTGCAGAGTTATTTGTAGCCTTCCACTCAAGCCAGGTCATGAACTTTGATCTGGGTCCACCATGCATCCCCTCGAATGCCCCTCAATCCCACTGGCTGCAGACCTCAAAGCTTCAGCATCGCCTGAGCTGTAGGTGGTACACCCTGCACTGCTTTTCCTGATGGACAACCAGGACACTCACACATCCAGCAGCCACAAGACATTATTGGATTTCAGTCACAAGCAGAATCAGATGTTTAAAACAATAAACATCCTTCTGGAAAACACAGACATACAAATGATGTGTTATTGTTGGAGAGGTCCAGCTTGGGAAGCACAAAGGTTTCTCCTCTCCCTTCCAGAGCTGTCCAGGTCTGGCAGTGCTGCCTGACTGTGGATGTGCTGAAAGAAATCCTGCTCTATCAAATGAAGGGCAACTGGAACCATTCACAGAGCAGAGGGCTTTCTAGTGCTCTCCCTCCTGGCTGTCTCCCCAAAAGAGTCAGCTGCTTTATATTACTCAGGGAAGAGAAAAGGCTCTTAAAGCAAGCAGAAGTCATATTAACACTTCTGCTACGGCCCTGCTGAAAAGAACAGAGGATGTAAAGCAATATTGGTAAATGAAACCCAGATTCACACTCTGCAGATTCAGACAAGACGCTTGCACAAATCCTACTAAAGACAGTAATTGGCTTTAATCAGTCAGAATCAGGGCTGATTTCTAATCCCAGCTCTGCCACTGGTTCACCAGGGCTCGTGCAAGTCACTTAAGCTAGGACTCAGCTCAACTAACCTTAGCCATGGGAAGTTACGTTTCTGGTCAGTGCTAATCCTTTAGAATCCCTCTTCAGAGAGACTGACACCTCTGAAGGGCAATTCAACCCATCCTAAGACCCCTTTCTGGACAAGACAGCCTGAATTTCCCTCTCAAAATCCATGGTGAAATACAAGGATGTCAATCTTTCACCACGGCGATGCCATGATGGGGAATGGATACGTAACTGTACAGAGGTTGGAGAGGGGAGATGCTGGAAGGTGACTACAAGAGGAACGTCCCTGCTGGATGCTCCCATGGAAGTAGGGTGGAGGAGTCCTGCAGAGGAACCCTGAGGGTGGCTGTGGGGTTCCAAAATCACCATTCCCTACAGCAATGCTGACCATGGGAATGCGTTTTCCAGGCAATGTAAGGCTGAGCCCTCCTGAGATGCTGTTTGCACAGGTTTATCAGAGGACAACATCTGATCTTCCCCACCTCAGGACACGAAAGTGTTAGAAATAACAAGTGTGAACCAGAGATTTCTATCCCCTCTTCACTCCTCAGCTACCCAGCACAGATAACTCTCCATGAGCCCTCCAGTCTCAGCAGACCCTCTTGTTTCAGGTGGATAAACTCATTTTCCAGGCAACTTTTGAACTTAGTAAAGTCTGGGGCATCTGGAGAAATCCCTTCTTCAAGAATGCAAAGTCCTTTTACCTTTTCTTTTTGACCTTGCTTGCTTATAATTTATTACTTCTTGGTGCATTATCATCACTAACTAAAAATCAATAACCTCTTCACATCTGTAAGGTTTTATCTGGAGGGAAATCTGCTCCCTGTCCATCACAGTGATTGACAGCCTTCCCTTTCCCCTCCTTCTCATCACTTGTCTCTCTCCCTTTCCCCATCTCCTTTCCCTTTGCTGTTGTCCCAAATCAGTCACAGGCATGGCGTGGGCTTGCACTTTGGGCTAAGTCAATAACAGCCACGGCGCTGGAAGGAGCCTTTGGCCTTGCTTCTACCCTTTTCAGAGGTCATTTGTCATGGGGGAGAGGTCCTGGTGTGTTGGGGAGACCAAGGTTAATGCACAAAGACCCTCCTGGATGAAAGAGCCACCCCCCCCTCACCTCCTGCTGCTGCCTCCCTCCTCACCCTCATGTCTGCAGCTCCCCCCGTGCCCCCCTGGGACGTTTCATCACTCTCTCCCATACTTTAAAAGAAGGGGAGTTAAAAAAATGTAATTAATTCCCTCCATTTCTGAGCTGGCCTCAGGGCCTCTGGCCATGGAAACTGCAGCAGGGGAAATGTGCACCCTTTATGATAAACCAGTGTGGCTTTGGGAAGGGAAGTGCAATTAGGGCCTTCAATGTGGGCAATCAGGCCGTCAGATTTTCGGGTTGGGGGGGTGGTTGGGGGTGTTTGGAGTGGCTCAAGGGGCAGACAATTGATAGGGAGAGATATTGTAAGCTAGAAGAAAGGTTTGTGACAGAACCTTGTCCCAGCACTGATCTTTGTGGTCAGGAGCTCTATGGGAGATACCAGAGCAGCCCAGACCATGCCATACATCCTCAGAGTCCCTCCACCTCCTCAGCTTGCTTTAGGCTTCCTAAGATACCCAGCTGATAGAGACATCAGGCCCTGGCCACAGCAGGCTTCACACCTACACTCAGTGATGCTCCAGGAGGACACTGAGGTGTTACAAGGAGATCAAACTCCAGCAAACAAAGCGATGGGGAGGCAGGAGCCTATGGATGGCATTTTTCCGAGTGACCCCTGCTTCCGTGGTGTCTCCATTTGTGGACACTTGATTTGACACAGCACAAAGCGTCCAGAATCAGAGGCTGCCTTAGAGAAATGCTGCATTTAGAAACTGCTGAGCCTGGCTAAGTCCTGAACTGAGGGAAGCTGAAATGATCTGCAGTAGCTGAAGGGTGTTAACTCCAGAGAAGCTGCTGCGTGGTCCCCAAAGAATGCAAAGGAAGGGTCTCCGGGCAGCAAGGAGCGTTTCTGAAGCTGTGGTCCTGCTTTCCTAGGAACGGGTAGAGATCCCCTCGCTTTGGGAAAGGCTGCAAATGCGATCAGTTTGAATATGTGATACTGCATCAGGCAAAAAGCAGTAGGAAATTGTGCGTGAAGAGCATTTGTAGGCTGAAATCTCTTTGTTTCAGCTTTCTGTGGTGTTTTAACATTTACACTGCTTCCTAGGGAATGGGAAGTCTGCCAGGGGCCTGATGGCCGTGCTGGGAAACATGCTGGATCTTACGGATTTATTAATGGCATGGACCAAGTTAGTGATTCCTCCATGAGGACTTGGTCTCTGCCATTTGTGCTTGATTCAGCTTCATGCTCCAAGACTTTTCTTACCTACTTGGTGGGGGGACACAGCTTAATCTTTTCCATCTTTATTGTGCAGCCTGTTCAGCTAATCTTTCCTTTCTCTCTTGCAGAAGGCAACCCTTCCTGATGTTAATGCTTTTTGATCTCTGTGGATTCATTTTCACTTGGTGGGAAGAGGAAGAGGCGATTATACTATACATACATTAAATGGAAACAAAATGAAGAGGTGACTGTAGGACTACTGAAAGCCAAAGAGAGTTAGGAGGAGATAAATAAGGTTTCCCCAAAGATCTTCACTTGAAAGGAGGATAAATATATGCAAATATGCCCCTCGGTAGGACTAAAGTGACTTATGTAGCAATCACTAACACTGCACTCCCCAAACCAAGCAATTAATTTTGAATGTGTTCTAAATCATTCCATCCAGCTGAGTTGTATCCCAATATGCCAACCCAAGGCAGTACATATACCCATTGAACCTGATCCTGCAATCAGGCCAAGGATCCGGACAGCGCTTCACCCTCCTTGCACACTTCTGAGCCAGGTAACAGCAGTTCCTTCCATCTAAAATCATTTCAAACTACATTTTGAGGCCCAGGGAGCAAACTTTGCATTAGCTTTCCACAGGGGTAACTTCCCTGACTGCCAGCACAGTCTGAATTCACACTGGTATAAATGAGTATGTGGCTTAGCTCTCTAGGTCTATTTTGCAGTGGACTGGAGTTTAAGAAATATGTTCCATTGCCTCATCCAGCCAGGTGTTTATATTCCATCCACCCACAATGTGTTAGAAATCATAGAATGGTTTGGGTTGGAAGGGACCTTAAAGCTCATCCAGTTCCAAGCTATGCGACAGGCAGGGACCCCTTCCACTAGAGCAGCTTGCTCCAAGCCCCTGTGTCCAACCTGCCCTTGAACACTGCCAGGGATGGGGCAGCCACAGCCTCTCTGGGCACCCTGTGCCAGCGCCTCAGCACCCTCACAGGGAAGAGCTTCTGCCTTATCTCCAACCTGAACCTTGTTTCAGTCTGAACCCATTACCCCTTCTCCTATCACTCCAGTCCCTGATGAAGAGCCCCTCTCCAGCATCCCTGCAGCCCCCTTCAGACACTGGAAGCTGCTCTGAGGTCTCCACACAGCTTCTCTTCCCTGAACAGCCCCAGTGTTCTCAGTCTGTCTTTTTATGAGAGCTGCTCCAGTCCCTGATCATCCTTGTGGCCTCCTCTGACTTGTTCCAACAGTTCCATGAGCTATATGAGATAACACAACCTCTTCCTCAGCAGGAAGGACACTAGGGCTGACGTGGCTGCTGCTGCTCCATTGCTGGTATGTCTCATTTTCCTGACCTTCACCATTTCCTGGGAAAATACGTGGATGCCAGTGAAGAGCCTTTCCAAAGTGTGTCAGAAGCATGGCTGGGAGCAGAACACCATGTGCCTGAATGCCTTCTGGTTTGTATGGGACAGATCATATGAGATCCCTTCAAAGTGGTCACAGTTACTGTAGGCCTGTGCCTGAATAGCTTGACAGTCACCAATCAACACAGAAATATCATCAATGCCTTTCAGTGACTTCAAACACCTGAAGGATGTTTCAGCGCCATAGGAAAGTGGTCTAGGACACAGCAGGTGAAATGGAGATGAGCATCTGTATCCTATAATGAACCTGTTCACTTAATAGATGAGAAACTGCCACACACTTATGATGGAGAGGGCTTGGGGAGGTGCTGGGGATGCGATGGAGCTCGGGATGCGATGGTGAGCTGCAGCAAAGCAGACCAATGCAGGCTGCACGAGGGGAGGATTAGCAAAAAAGGCGATGGGAAGTTATTACCTGATTGTTCAAGGCTATGGTGAGGTTCCACCTGGAGCACTGCATCTTGTTTTGGGCACCCTGCTTCTGTAGAGATGTACAAATTACAGAGAAGGTCTAAAGAAAAGTTTCTAAGCTATACAAAAGAATGGAAGGTCTTAGCTGTAAGGGTAAGAGAAACGGCTTAAGTCTGGATAGTCTGGGAAAGAGGAGTGGGCTCTTCTTGCAGTGGAAATACCACCAGGAAATCAGAAGCACCAGGGGGTTACACATCCAATCAAGGCTATGAGATATCCCGCAGGAGACGTGTAATTTGGAGGGGAAGGGCATAGGCATCACCGGGAATGGGAATTACTGCATTAAAAGCTGCTTGATCTAGAAACTTGAACTACCATCCCTGGCATTAGGGCCCCCAACTGTACTGTCACTTAGATAAAAGCAGATGGCAAAGGTTTTAACAGTCTGGATAACTAGAGAGGAAACCAAAAGACATGCTGTGCTAGTATGGGCTGCTAGGCACAAAGGGCAGCCCAGTTCTAAAGTCATCAGTTTCACCAACAAGCAAAATCCAGAGCCAGAATGGGGGAGACTCAAGCCAAAAGGCTAACTAGCACCTCGCCATCCAAACTGTCCAAAGGGGCTGATTTCCATGCACTGTTGAGTATCTCCCCTCTGAAAACAGGCAGTTTGTGCTTTACTAACCATCAATATTGTTATTCATCTTGTGTTAACCAAGCCTGAAGTGTTTTTTTCCTGATTAAATTGGAATTGCTAAGACATTTTGTATAGAATAGCCAAAAGAAGGTCAATGCTTCCCAAACATGCTGGTCAGCAAACTGAACCACCCCCTCCTCATTTCTAGGCAGTAATCTGCCTTAACAGAAGCCACCACAAGCAAACCCTATCCTGATGCTGTTTTCCCTCTGAATATGCTTCTCTGTGAAAGTCAAGTGAATACACTGGAAAGGAAACTCTTCAAGGGAAAATCCCTTTGTGGAGATGCGAAGCATCTCTGAGCAACTTTACACCTAATTGCAGGAATATGCATCTTGCTTGTGGCATTTTGGAGCTCACAAAGTCACCTGGGATGAGAAAGCAGAAAGGCACAACCATGGAAAACTGGAATTCCTAAACATTTCCAAACTGGCAGAAGGACTCAGGTTAGGTCTGGCTTTGGAAATGGTCTGGGCTTGTATCTTCTACACCTACTTGGTCATTGCTGGGTAAGCTCAGACATGCTGATGGCCAGCGGGGAACAAAAAGCTTTCGGGGCTTGGTGAGAGATTCAGAATACCAAGAAAGAAACAAAACCATGCTCAATCAGCCCTAAATCTATGGCTGTGCATCTGCCTGACGTGGAGAACAGCACAGTGGGATGATCCCGCAGCAAACCCAAATCCCAGCAAATTCACTCTGGTTGATAGACTTGTGTTATTCCTCTCTCCAACAGCCTCCCGCTAACAGAACCTAACAAAGACAACCCCAAATTCACAGAAAGGCTTCTCCTTCCCCTCCTCCCTTTTCATTTCTCTCTCCCATTTGATTATTTCTCTCTTTTTTCCCCATTTCTCAGCTAAGCTGCTCTGTGCTCGCTCACTATCGCAACCCCCTGCGGACACTGGTAATGGAGTGCGGGTGCTGACTTACTGCTTCCAAACAAGATTTCCTGAGATCCTTTGAGTCTGCTCCATGCCCCCCCTTCTCCTGCTTTTCTCTCTGTGTCTCTCTCTTTTTGGAGAGTGGAGGGGAGCCTCTATAAATGTGAAAGGAGCTGCACTACAAAGAGTCCCCCGAGTGGCATATCCCAGCCCCAGGCGAAGCTGCTTGGTGCACTGATAGTCCTGGATCTGCTCTAGGACTCCTCTTTCTCTTCCCCTCCCTCTTTTCTCTGATCAATCAAGGGCTGTAATCAGTTAAGGTCCAGCTTAACTGCAGTGTAAGATACACCAGTTAAGCAAAGCCAATGCCTCCAGGGTTCCCATGGTAAATACAGAGAGGTCATGGGGAGATGAAATAACCCTGATAGTTCAGCAGGGCTGGCTGGGCTCGCACCAAACACTTCATAACTTGGGCAGCAAAAGAATGGAAGAAAGGGAAAAGCAGAAGCATTTCCCATTGCCAGCTCCTCTGCTGCTTGTTTCCCTGCTCCCTCAGTTCCCTGCACTCCTGGGGGGAGCTTTGAGCATTCTTTAAGGTGAGGGTTTCTCTTTCCAGCTCACCCTAATGAATGAACAACGCAGACGCCGGTCCTGTCTGGATCCTGTTTGGATCTTCTGAGACTACCACAGGGATTTTTAAAGTCAGGATCTCTTTTTCCCTCACCCAAAGGATAATGGCAGCTCCTGAATCCTTCCACAGCCCTACAAAGCACCATGTGCTCTTCCTTCGGACTTCTCTCTGCTGCTAGGGAGCACTGTGGTATTTTCAAAGACAGGGAGCCGCTTGCTTTGGCCAAACATGACGCAAAACCCTCATAGGATCTGAACTTAGGGATAAGGGAGCTGCATCCACCCAGGTGCAGCGTCTGTGTAAACAAATAATAGTAAAGAGAAGAAAAGAAAGTGTGGATCTGTGCTGAAAACACATTACCCTTATAGCTGAGGTGCTCTGGCTCAGCAGCCTCTGCCCCTGCTTTTCCACACTAAAGCTCTGCCTCTCTCTCCAGGAATGTCCATTCTCAGAGATGGTCCAGGGAAAAATGAGCCTTTTGTGGTCATTATTTGTGATCACTTTTACACTGAGTTCATGCTGTGCTGGATCCAAACAGATCACTTGCAGTTTCATAATGCACTTCTTGAAGAGGAGGCTTGGGACTGTCAAGGGGACTTTTCATGTGTGGGACAAGCTCCTGTCTACTGCCATTCCTGAAACCCCAGAGCTCTTTCTGCTCTTCAGACGTGAGAACTCTGGCAGGATTTGGTCCCTTAAATCCACCCCCAAATTCTACCCAGTCTTAATCCCAAGCTCCTGATCCTAACTGAACACAACGTGAGGCTGGGATCCAAACACCACCGCATCCGCTCCTTCCTAATTGGACACTGGCCCATTAGACATTAGAGATGGGGGGAAAACATACAGAATTTATTAAAAATGATGGAGACACATAAAGAGCAGCACAAAATCTTTCACCAGAAGTGATAAAGCCCTAAAAGATTTGAGTTTCCATAAGTATCCCTCTCAGGGTCCTACAGCTCTTTAAAAGCTATTTGGAGTGGAGATATCCTGTGGTGCTACAGATGCTTACTTAAGCAGGGGATGACATGAATTCTTCCCTGGGTATTTTAGCACTCCTGAACCTGGGGTGTGCTGAGGAACCTCAGTAGGTTTGTGATGATGATCTGAGTGGACAACACAAACAGGTGAAGTCTTTGAACAGTGAAATGTAGAAGTAGAAGCTCCTGGTCCAGTAACAGTGCTTCCTTCTTACTTGTCCAGCACAGTTTGATTTTGGCTAAGTCTGAAGGTAAAACACTTTCTAGATATATCATATAAAGCCACCAAGAAGTGATCTTGAGCATGGGAGCAACAAATTGCATGGGTTTAAAACCTTGCTTTCTTATGAACATCATTTACTACCTTGAACTAAGTGATTTTTAAGAGGAATAAGATACACTGATGAAAGGGAACCGTCTGCTGGCAAAGCCGTGTCTGTGCCAAAGGGAAGGGCCTTACCCCATCCAATTCCCAAGGGAAACAGCACTACATTTCCTAAGTGGGGATGGAAACTGGCACATGGCTCTACAAATGCAAGCAGAGAACTTTAGCCATTAACCTCACAACTCCTGGCTGAGGTTTATGAGCTCTCTTTTATGAAGATACCTTCAAACCCTCTAACTTGCTGTGTAGAGCTGTATCCCCCTCGCTGCAATGTGAAGGTGTCATCACACCCCTGTAGGACTCACAGTTTTCACGGCATCTCCTGCATGCAAGAAGTTTAAAAGCATGCAAGTCACTGCTGATCCCGAGATAACTGGCGGAAAAGGGATTAGAGCTCCTTAGCAGAGGAGAGGGAAGGCTCAGGAAGGGCTGATTCTTTTCAAGATATGACTATTTAAAGATAATGATTGCATAAATTTAATTAATGCATTTTCATGCTGCAAATGGCCGTTTTGTAATTAATGTATCTGGCCTCGCTAAGCATGGGAGATCTCATCTCCCAGCCCCCCCTGCCTCCTCAATCCCCCCCCCCCCGCCTCTCCTTTAATGAAAGACAGAAAGCAGATGACAGAAACAATTTGTCACCAGTACGGGTGTCAGATGCCTAATTGGTTGCGCTGAGTTAGTGGAAAGTAAAAGGGGGAGAGGGTCGAGGCTGGGGGGGGGGGTCTTCCCTCTTTATCCCAGGCTGCAGGGTGGGTGTCTGTATTGGGAAGGGGGGTGAAAGTGTTCCTTGTTAATTGATGGAGATTAGGACACAGATTGGCTGTGGCAGGGACTGGGCAGTGACAAGAAGGGGACAGGAGAGGCTGGTTAACACCCGTGCAAACAAGCTGCCATATCTCACAATCTGTTAAGTCCCTGCAGCGTTGACAACAGCAATGGTTATCTCCTGCACACTCCCCCTGCTCTCGCTGCACTCCAGCATCCCCAGACAGGACTGCTGGGGGAAGAGCTTAGTGCATGGATCTGCAGCCCTGGGCACAGATCTCCTCCACTGGGTTTGCACCCTCCAGCTTAGAGAGGAATTGGGACCTCAGTTTAAAGCTTGGGACCCTTGGGACCCAGGGTGCTGGGCTGAGGCCATCCATGGGCAAAGCAGAAAGACTGAAGTCTCAACCCAAGAGCACTGCCTGGGTCTTACGTGCCCTAAGCCTTGACCTGGGTTCAGAGCAGTATTTCAGTGTTAGCACCTAACAGATCCTTCTTAAATCTGCATATCCACTACAACACTGTCTTAAGAACTGCAAGATGGAGCAAAACTGGAGTTAACGTATGTACCAGCTGGTCCCTGAGCTTTGGGGGGGCATCTGGGTCACTGGTAATAAAGCGCCCATCTGATTAGTTCTCCCCTGGACATTATATGGAGAAGAAAACCTCCTGTCCATAAAAAAGGCCTGGGAGTCTGGAGCTTTCTGTATCAGGGAGAC